GGAAAACACGGGGGGACTGTGAGGGAACACGGGGTCCTGTTAAGGGACACAGGGGCTGTGAAGGGACACGGAAGAGCCGAGTGAAAACACGGGGGGACTGTGAGGGAACACGGGGTCCTGTTAAGGGACACAGGGGCTGTGAAGGGACACGGAAGAGCCGAGTGAAAACACGGGGGGACTGTGTGGACACACGGAGGGCTGTGGACTGAGACGGGGGGACTGTCCGGGGAGACGAAGGAGCCGGGGGAAAACACGGGGGACTGTGCGGTAACGCGGGGGGACGGTGGGGATACACGAGGGGGCTGTGCACGGACACGGGGAGCTGCGAGTGGACACAGGGAAACGCGTCGGGGCACGGGGGAGCCGAGCAAAAACACGGGGGGACAGCATGGGGACAATGGGCACTGTGTGGGGACACCGGGAGGTGGAACGGTCACGGGGGAACTAAGCCCAACACGGGGGAGCCGTGGAAAAATACGGGGGGACAGTGCGGGGACACGGGACAGGCTTCCAAAAACACGGGGGACTGTGGACGGACACGGGTAATCGTGCACGGACACGAGGGAGCCGCGCAAAAACACGGGGCACGGACGTGGGGGGACGTGCGGTGACACGGAGGGACCGGCACGGGACGGGAGAGCCGAGAAAACACGAGGGGAACGTGTAAGGACACGGGGAAACGTGCAAAACCGCGCGGGGACTGTGCGGGGACACGGGGGAAATGCCCACGAGTGTGGTGGAACTGTGCCCACCCCGGTGTGAGTGCACACGGACACACAGACACACGGGCACGGGGCAGCCGCCCGTGGGCACCGTGGGACCGGTCCCGGCTCCCTTCCTTCCCGTGGGTGGCTGCTTTGGGGTGGGTTGGTTGTTTTTAGAGCGATCAGGGTGGCCCGCCGGGCTCTCCTCAGGGTGGGCGCGCTCCGCCCGGCCCGACCCGCCCGGCCCCGCCGCGCCCGCTCTGATCAAACGAAATCAAACGAAATTAAGAGAAATCAAACGAAATCGGGGGGTCCCGGTACCGCAGCCCCCCCCGGCACGGCCGCCCCGACACCCCGCCCATGGCCGAGCCTGCCGGCACCGGGGGGACCCGGTCAGCGCCTCCGCCTCGGGGGTCCCCACCCCAAACGGGGCCGCGGCGAAGGGGCCACCTCCGCGCGTGGGGCGCGGGTCCGGGCACCCCGGATCGCTTCTCATTCCTGGGATCCCCTCCTTCACTATCTCCACTCCTGGGACCCCACTCCTGGGACCCCACTCCTGGGACCCACTCCTGGGATCTCCTCCTCTGCCATCTGTGCTCCTGGGATCCCAGTCCTGCTTCCGGGATCTACTCTGTTACCCCTGCTCCTGGGGGATCCTTCTTCCAGGATCCTATTCCTGGGATCTTACTCCTGGAATTTCCTCCTTTACCACCGCTCCTGGAACCTCCTCCTTTAGCACCCCCACTCCTGGGATTCTGGCATCCTGCTCCCGGGCTCCTCTCGCCCAGCCCCCCGATTTCTGGGATCCCCTGTCCTTCCTCATCTCTGTGATCCCGGCTCCTGGGGTGTTCCCTTCAGGGGTCCCCGCTCCAGGAATCCTGCTCCGTGCTCCAGGCACCCCCCAGACCCTGCTTTGGGGAATTGGGGTGGGATGCCTTGGCTGTGTCCCCCAACAGCCCCCCAACCGCAGATTCTGTTACCGGCACCTCTGTTCACCCTCTCCAGGGGCTCACAGGACCCGTGGGGAGGGTGGGGGGCTGCGGCCCCCCCTGTTCCCGCTGCTGGGTCACTGGTGCAGCCCCTTCGGGGCTGGGGGTCCCAGAGAGGGGACACGAGGAGGACAAAGGGGGCCCCGAGGGACTCCCATAAACCTCCTGTGCTCTCGGGAGGAGCAGCGGGATCCCCACGACGTTCAGGCAGTGCTGGCGCTGAGGGTGCTCCAGCACCCCATGGGACAGACCCCCGTGGGTTTTGGGGCGACCGGCAGAGAAGAGGGGAGGGGGCTCCTTGGGGGGCCGGGCAGGACCCAGCCCACCCTCCCAGCCAGGGGAGGGCAGAGCCGGGGCTTCCTCCTGCTTCCCACGGCTCGGGGGGTCTGGGGTGGGTGAGGGAGGGGGTCTGTGAGGGTCGGGGAGCCCCCGGCCCCTCACCCCGCCGGGCGTGGGTGGGACACCCCCTCAGGAGCGCAGCCGCGGGGGCAACCACGCGTGGGGCACCGGCCGTGACAGAGGACGGGGGAGGGAGGAGGTGCCCCGGCCTGTGCCCATCCCCGCGCACTCGGGGCCCAGCAGGAGTGTCGGGGGGGTGTCCCCGCACGGGGTCCCACCGCAGCCACCGAGCTCTGCCGTCACCAGCTCACGGCCACCCCCGGATCACCGGTGTGCTGGATCCCCAGGGTACCGATGTACAGGATCCCCGTGGTACCGATGTACAGGATCCCCGTGGTACCGGATCCCCGGGGTACCGGATCCCCGGGGACGGCGGGAGGGAAAAGCGGGATGGATTTAGCGGGTGTTACGTGGGGCACTAAAGCTCCCCAGGGGGGGACAGAGGGGACGCTGCTGGGGACACCCCGGGGCCAGGAGGACACCGGGTGTCCGGGTGGAGGGTTTTGGCTGTCAGCAGTTTAGGGGTGAATGTTGGGAAGTGCAAGGGGCACCGCAGGGGGGGCACGGTGGTGTTGCCTCGTCTTGTCTCGGCAGAACACCCTCGTTCCTCCCCGGTGAGCTCGGAGCGGGTCCCACCACGGAGCTGAAGGGATGGGAGGGGTCACACCTGCGTGGGGACACCGCTCACAGCGGGGCCACGGGGTCACACCTGCGTGGGGTCACACCTGCGTGGGGACACCGCTCACAGGGGATCACAGGGTCACATCTGCGTGGGGACACCGCTCACAGGGGATCACAGGGTCACATCTGCATGGGGACACTGCTCACAGGGGGGCCACGGGGTCACATCTGCGCGGGGACACCGTTCACAGGGGATCACAGGGTCACATCTGCATGGGGACACAGCTCACAGGGGATCACAGGGTCACACCTTCGTGGGGACACCACAACACTGCTCACAGAGGGGTCCCAAGGTCCCGCCTGCACGGGGACACTCCCACTCACAGGGTCCCACTCGCACGGGGACACCACCCCACCTCTGGCTCGGAGCGCCTGGGCTCGTTCCCCGACCCAAGGAGCCCTTCGAGCCCCCAGGTCGGTGCCAGCCCTGGCAGGAGCCGCCAGCCCCGCCGTGCCCGGTGGTGCCCGCGTGGAGCGAGGGCAGCGAGCCCGGCCCCGGGCTCAGTCCCGGTGCCAGCGCCGGGCGCGGTGCCGGCCCCGGGATTACGGGAACAGCGAATCACGGCGCGCACTCCCTCAATCCACGGGGAAACGCCGAGCACGTTTCTGCCCGGTCCCTCCGCCCGGTGGCAAATCCGCGGCCTCCAGTTCACCTCCTGACCTGCCCTTATTCCCTCGCTCTGCCTTCAAACCATGTGACGGGAGGATTTGGCTTAATGTGTGTTGCTCCAGAAGGGAAGGAGGAGAAGGAGCTCAGAGGGCCCGGAGGTAATCGCTGGCTCCGCGCCCGCGCCCGGCGCAGGGGCGTTCCTGCAGCCCCGGGGTGGATTAAGGCATCCGGGCACCCCGATCCCTGCCCCTCGCTGCTCCCCACCTCCCCCGGTCCCTCCGGGGGCGTCGGCA